CCTAGAAAAAAATATTTTAAAAATATATTTTATTAATAAAATAAAGAAAAAATTACATGTAAAAATAGCTAAAATGGTCATCTACAGTAACTTCAGCCAATACAGCCAGAAAAGTAACTCCAACCTTACTTTTTCTGCTTATTACACAATTCAGCACGCGAAAGTAAAAATTACGTGTTTGGTGAAAAAGCTGGCTGATAAGCCTGATAAGCCGAAAAAAGGGGTCTCCAAACGGGCTCTATGTACGTAGTATATCATATGCTTCTTATGTATTCGTATGCTATACTATGTATATTTATATGCAATGGTCATACGAATATACTGTATTACCAATAAACCAGCTCTATTTCATAACTATATCTATCATGGATAAAATATATTATAATTCTATACGTAATAATATTGTAATGTAATTCTATATTATATTATATTATATTATATTATATTATATTATATTATATTATATTATATTATGTTATGTTATGTTATGTTATGTTATGTTATGTTATGTTATGTTATGTTATGTTATGTTATGTTATGTTATGTTATGTTATGTTATGTTATGTTATGTTATGTTATGTTATGTTATGTTATGTTATGTTATGTTATGTTATGTTATGTTATGTTATGTTATGTTATGTTATGTTATGTTATGTTATGTTATGTTATGTTATGTTATGCAATGTTATGTTATGTTATGTTATGTTATAATGCTAAATTAATACTCCGTAATACTCCGTATAATACTACCTTCGTCCCTTTTATATTGGGACGGAAGAGGGTGACACGATTATTAAGAAAAGTAGGTTTGTGTGGTTGATAGTAATTGATAAAGTAAGAATAAAGTAAGAATGATTTAGTGCCACACAAACTTTACCAAATATGGTATGAGACAATATTAGTGGGATTTCCCAAAAAGGTAAAACAGGACAATATAAGGTGGACGGAGGAAGTAATATTTATATAAATATTAATAAAATGAGATATTACCCAAAATGGGACTAAAAAAGTTTGGAAATTCCAAAATAGGACTTCCATGTTTTTATTCCCAAAATAGGACTAATTAATGTCATGTTTTGGAAATACCAGACTTCAAACATGGCATTATTTTCCAAATTTGGCAGTAATTAGTCCTATTTTAGGAATAAAAACATGACAGACCTATTTTGGAATTTTCAAACTTTTTTAGTCCCATTTCGGGAACTTTCCCTAATAAAATATGTAATGCGAAATGTATTAATAGTATATATAATAATTTGTACCATATTTGTATAATTAGTATTAGTATAATAGATATGACTACAATATCCGAGTATACTATAATTATTCTTACGAACTGTATTTCTATGACTATAATTATACGGAGTATAATATATAAGTATACTATAGCTGGATAAGTGAAAGCATAGGCTAATCCTCTGGACTGTGATGGCATTTCATAATCCCTCACCACCTTCATCTTGATACCCCAAGCATTCTTGGTGTGATTAACCCCTCCTTGATTTTCTATCATTGAAATATGTTGTGAGACTATGACACTTTGAGAGTCTGGGATGACAATTGAACTGAATGGGTTAGCCTATTTATACTGCATTAGAGGCCTGCATTACTTTGATATCCAACAGACAATAAACGCTTAATAACCAACGGATTCTATCTTTCACACTATACTTCGAAAATATCTTAAGTAGTTGCAAAGCAATTAATGTGAATGTACTTTAAAGATCAATTCAAAAATCTTGTGCTGCACAATGGGATATGAAAGTACCTTTCATTAAATGCATGAAAAAGATTTGAAAAGATGGTATACTGGGACTTTGGCTCTAAATCAAACTCATGGCCGTATTTTTACGGAGTACTTCGTATTTGCTTGTTCAATGATTGAGCTGCCTTTTCATTTATTGTTTAAAAAGTTTTGAAAAGACATATTGTTACAATAATAATTAAAGGCTATTCGTCAGACCTTACACCCTGTCTCCGATTGATTAAAACTGCTATAGCTAGTAACATTTAAAGCATCGCTCCAATTTTAACTTGACCTCAATTGTCCGACCCGTTTCAACCAGGCTTGACCCGTTTTATGCACAGGAAATGGGCGGGAAAATGTGCTGTCTTCCCACAGCCTTTTGTATATAGAAAGATGAATAGTTACACTTCATCAATGAGAAAATTAAAGAGGGAATTGAATTGAATATAAAATTATTCGAGTAATATTTCAGATACGTTATTAAAAACATTTAAAGCCGCAACAATCAAATTTGAAACTCGTTTAGTGATTCTGTTTTTCGACTTATCAGACTTATCTATCAATTTTTTTACTAAACAACTTCATTTTGTGCGCTGAATTGTGTAATACTCCCTCCGATTCTAAAACAAGTTGCATCTTTCCTTTTCGGGCAGTACCAAAATTAAGTTCCACTTTCAAACATTTCCTTATTTGGCAAATTATCTACATCAAAACAGTGCAAAACAGTGTCAACCATTGTCAAACAGTGTTCAAACAGTGCACTCCACGGTAAAGTCAACTTTATTTCCAGTGAAGTCAAAACTGGAACTTGTTTTAGAACCGGAGTACTACATAATAAGAAAAAGTAAGGTTGTAATTATTTTTCTGACTGTATTCACTGAGTTACTGTAGAGGATCTTTTTAATTGTTTTTTCATATATTTTTATTTATTTTATTAATAAAATATATTTTAAATATATTTTTTCATAAATCAACAAAATCAGCCAGTTCAGTCACTTCAGCCAGAACTTCATAAATCTCAATAGAATCAGCCAATACATACAGCTGATTTCGGTAATACCAAACGGGGTCTTGATCTTAACACATGAGTATTATCAGAAAATTAAACGATAATGTTTTCTCTACCTTTACTCATTTTGATAGAGAAAAGGGGTAAGTTTCGATAATACTCATGTGTTAACTCAGGTGTAATACTCGTCAAGTAGGAAAAGTAAAGGTAACTCACGATTTTGAAAGTGAATAAGTTATGCATAAAAGAGGGAGAATCTTATACCAATAATGTTTTCTCTACCGTTTTTGCACTAGAAGTATTTAAGTTACAAAAACATTTAATCTCTCATAAATACATCCACAAATTCAATTTCTACTTTATTATTCATCCTTATTAGGCATCACATCCAAGTATCAACCATGTATTTCTCTATCATCATTCTTTTATATTATTTTTCTCATTTACTATTCTATTTTGTGTAATTTTCATCCTTAATCTCTTCTTTCAAATAAACAAACCAGGTGTACTTTAAATTATAGAATAAAAAAGGGGAACATATAGTTTCTCTAATAAAATAGAAACTCAATATCATGATTGTTTGAAAAATCTAAAAGAAAATGTAAATAATATCAATTCTGTATACTCTCTCCGTATTTTAAAGTTTGCTACGCTTTTCTTTTTTGGATGTATTTAAAAGTTTGATACACTTTTCCTTTTCGATAAGTTTTTCCCTTTCAAAATACTCAGTTAACTTTACTTTTCCTACTTTTTATCTTCTCTTTCATACTTTTTCACCTTCTCTCCTATTTTTTCTACACTATTCATTACACATTATTTCACACTTAAATGTTATGCCCAAACCTAATATAGAGAACTTGAAATACGGAAGGAGTACATAAAAGGATGCTTTTCTCTCAATAATGTTTTCTCTTTCCTTTTTGCATTCAATGTATTTACAAGTTAAAAAATCATTTAATCTCTTAAATACATCCACAAATGTGCACTCTCTAGAGTCTCTACTTATTGTTCATCCTTAGGTATCAGTGTATCACAAGTACCAACCATGAGTCAATCTTTTACGTTATTTTTCTCATTTCTCTATTTTGTGTAATTATCTTCCTTAATCCATCCTTTTAAACAAATCAGAGGCGTACTTTAAGTTAAAGAATAAAAACTCAAATTCACGATTGTCTAGAAATGTAATTGAATTGCAAATGATATGAAAGTCTAAACTGAAACTTTCGCATATTTTTCATTTTAATGATTAGTTCCTAAAATATAATTTCATTTTTCAACTTTTCATCATGCAGACCATCTAGTATTTGTATCATGTAGGGGTGCAAATGAGCCAAGCCGTTCGCGAGCCGTTCGAAGATCGCTTGGAAAATGCTCGACTCGAGTTCGTCATATTTTAGCTCGACTCGAGTTCGGCTCGACTCGAATACTTAACAAGCTCGAGTCAAGCCTATTTATTTTAGGCTCGTGGCTCGTGAGCCGACTCGCGAGCTTTGTATATAAATATATTATGCATAATAATTATATATATATATATATAATATTTTTGGAATATTTATTCTATTTAGGAGGACTCTATTTCTAATACAGCTATACTTATGATATTGTAATAATGTAATAATAATTAAATATAATACGTAGTATTTTTTATTATTATGACCGTATGTAGTAATTTAATCTATAATAATACGTGTTTATTTTCTTATTAGCTAATACTCCGTACAAATTAAGGATAAAAATAAATTGAGATCATCATTGCAACAATCATGGGTGTAGACAAGTTGGTGATTCATCATCAGGTTTAAAGAAGAGCTGGCAAATAAGTTCGAATCCCCCCATTTTGACATTTTTTTGTAGTTCGCAAGTCCACTTCTTCATACTACGTTTATATTTTAAACCTCCAAGATTATCTTTCCCACACCGGAAAGTGAGGAAAAGTTACCCGTGCTATCCATCTATAAAGTATGGCTCATCTCCCACAAACCATTACGGCATAAGACAGGAAGCCCATTTGCGAGATCTGCGATTAAAATGCTCTTTCGAGTCGATCTCGAGTGGCTCGCGATCTTTAGGCAAAGCTCACGAGCCGAACTCGAGTTATAAAAATTTAGGCTCGATCGAGCCGAGCTCGAGCATGTAGAATAATTTCGATTTTCGAGCTCGAGTTTGAGCATATGTGAGTTCGGGCTTGGCTCGGCTCGTTTACACCCCTAGTATCATGTAGTATTTGTAGTTTGTACAACATTTTTGCACTGGTACGTGGGTTCAAATCCCGCTACAATTTAGCTCCAATCACAGGATATAGTGCAGTAATATAAAGATCAACACAAATCAAGTGATGACACGGACTGTTTGATACAATAAGGCATTAGCAAGAGTTTAAAGGCATTTTTCGAGACAATTCGTTGAGTGTATTACATCGTAGAGAGCAATCAGCCACAAAAAAACATACTTGTATTATTCAATATATTGTAGATATGGAGCAAAGTAGATGGATACTACAGCTAGGCAACCAAGAATTGAAAATGTGATGTGGGCTCAAGCAGTCTAAATGCCCTAGCTTTCCTCGAGTAAATCTTAACATTCGGCAAACCTGCAGTTTAATATACAAATCAAAGTCATTTAGAACTCTAGTCCAAAAACATAGGGGGAAGATAGAAAGCACCAAATCAATTAAGGAAGCACTGTACCCAAGCTCGGAGAGCTTCAAATGGGCTTCTGCATAGTCAGCAAAGAAGGCATCCTCATCCTACAATAAGCCAAACTCGTTTCCACATGCCAAAACAATGCCAAATTTATTCAGTCACAATTCAAACTATGATGCACAAAAAAAGATAAATACCGCAGCATATTTTTCAACAAGAGGTCGAAAGACTGGGTCTTCCAGAAGTGTCTTATCAGTTGGAAGCTGGAGGAGACCTTCCTTCTCCCCAGAAAGAAGCTCCCTGTCATTAAAAAAATTAAGTTGGAATTTAAAACCTACTCCAAAATAGTACAAAACTAAGTAGACTCAAGGGCTCTATAACATACTTGAAGTAAGAATTGTCAAATATGAGAGGGTTGGAAGTCCACGCCCCCTCAAATCCAGAACGTTCCTTGTGGCATTTGCCCTAAACAGAGAAAAGGGCCCATCATTCTCCATCAGTAAATAACCGAACAACAGTTGTGGTCAAACTACACATATATATCTATTTCTATGTATACCAGGGTGTGACCACCAGATAGGGCAACAATGTCTTTATCACTCAGCCCCATTTGCTCTCCAAAAACAGTTCTCAAGTGATCAGAGCCTGTAGTATAGCAGCAGTTTTGATCAAACCACACTTCAAAAGCCTAAACCTAAACTACAACAAAGATAAACAAATAAACACAAACCCTTTGTAGCATCAGGCAAGCGACCTTCAGGAGGAGGGTTTGGCTTATCCTGAAAAACATAAGAGCTTAACATTATCACGGAACAAAGACTTGATCAATTTATATACAACCAAATGAAACAACAACATTACGATTGAGAAACAGATGGGTTCTAAACAGAGATAATCACACATACCTCCCTCCCGGGATGAAAAGGTACTTCAGGGCCACCAGTAATCTCCACAGCCACAACTCCAGCTAACTTCAAGTGTATATAAATGTACACAAATGTCAGACAAATATTAGATGAGAGGAAAAGGGAAAAACAACAAACACAGTAAAGCTTTAGACAAAGTTGTTTCAATAGATCACCTGATAGAAATCAGCATATGTGAGGATGGGAAACTGCTCCTTGATTGGCTCCAAAAGCCTAACAGCGATGTCAAGGCCATTGTTTGCTCCATGTTTGAGTTCCTCAGGATGCTTCATTGTACCAAAGGGACCTCCTGTTTTACTCTTCACATCATAAGTACCTGCTGAATGCCATCTGATATAAACCATAGGAACACTCATAAGTTTTCCATTTCGATAAATGTATTTATATAATTTCAAGAAATGCATAGTTTAAGGGCAAAAGCAATGAAAAATTGTAAGCAACAAGCCAACAACAACATATAAGCCTTAGTTTCAAGAGTTTGGGGTCAGCTAGCAACGAAAAAAATGGTTAACACAAAAATGGAGCTGAAAAGAAAATATATTAAGACATACTGCTAATTAAATCACATTAACACAGTATGAAAATTATCCATTACACAGAAAATATGTGGCTCTACTACACCCAATCACTAATTAAGTAGGATATTTAACTCTAGCAAGAATCTAGGCGATAGGCAACTCCTGTGCAATAACTTTTATTCTTTAACCAAATGGTACAATTAAAAAACTCATCCAACCAATATTTACGTTCTACAGAGGTAGAAATACAAGAGCAAGGACACGATTACAAATCGACTTGTTTTTTTACTTGCAGATCTAGGGTATGAATTATTTCCAAAAGCAAGGACACATTTACTTTCACAGAGGCAAACAAAGTCAACCACAACATAGAATGAAAGAACGATAAACAGGACAAGCACATAACAAATCAACGACAGATAAAATACCTATAATACAGATAAACGAGTCATACACATCAATCAGATCGCCAACAAAGCTAACAGGCAAGAGAAATCAAACAGATGATAAAAACCCAAGCAAAACCTCTAAACATGTACAAGTCAAAGGTAAAAAAGACCTTAGATCTATTCATATGTACAAACACATATACTACGAGTAGTATATCAATATACATACAGGCATCTATTTCTGTCTGTGTGTGAGATACAGTGAGAAAGGAGTGAGATAGTTTACGCTATGCGAAGCATGAGTGGAGCACATCCCTTCTCAGCAATGAGTCCTCTAAGCTTCCTCTTGCATTTCTCTACAGCTTTCTGGTACTCCGCACTCACAGTTGGATAAGACTTCCCCATGGCAGATAAGCTCAGCTATATAATCCGATATAAAAAGCTGAAAATCGCAGATTTCCATTATTATTGCAGAAAAAACAAATCAAACAAATCTGGAAAGCAGTCAAAACATGAAGAATAACAAATGGAAACTAAATCGGCTACAATCGACGAAAACGACTCCTCACCTCCGACGAGACGGGGTTCAGTGCAAGAGCAATCTAGCAAATGTGGGGTGTGTAACGGAAGAGAAAATATATAAGAGCTCAAGGTCAGAAGGTTCTAGGCTTCTCGCATTTATATTTTGTTGATAAAATGAACGGCTTAGATCTAATCTCCGATGGCTGCCGGTATGGAGTTGGTGGGCCGGTAAGTGGTATGGTCAGTCAGTCAGTCATTTGCCTGTTGGAAATGAAAAGTCGTCCATAGAATCAGTAACCAATTAAACTTGCCCACGTGTAGGAAGGTCATTGGGTATATCGTGGTCATTGCTCCGCTAGCTTTGTAGTTGCATACTCGCGGCACGAGTCCGGTGGCACGATTAGCACCAGTAGCAAAAGTAACCACAAAAATTATAAAAATGGCAATACTTAAAGATAATTTTCTTTAGACTAAAAATTGTTGTTCTGATATGATAAATGTTTCATCTTTGCCAATTTTATAACTGTCTAAGTTTGATCTGATTTGGTCTACTATAGGACGATCTAAGTAAAGACATCATAAAATCGAGAAAAGGGTTGATTTGGTACATGAAGTTGACACAGGTGGAGTAAAGACTACTTCATATTGAAAATCAGGGAGTACATATATTTCCTCCTATCCCAAAAGGTTTACTAGCTTTTACCATTACTTTTTTTAACTTTTACCATTACTTTGTGAGGCATATTTTGATTACTTAAAACACAAGTTACTGTAATTTGGAGGTATAGCATGTACACCAAGCAAATTCTCAATTTTCGAAAGATCAATTAAATTGGCTTTATTAATTCAAAACTTTTATATTTTGAGAATTCTAAATAAATTAGACATGTGTAGTAATCATTTGGGCACAAATCGCACGTAGTGCGAACGCCGCTAGTGTGTGTGTGTGTGTGTATAGGGACGGAGCCAAGTGTTGGGTTATGGTGTCAAATGACACCACACAAATTATATATTTATTGTATATATATTTATATATAAATTGAATGTGTTATAAATGACACCACTCAAACTATACATTTATTTTATATATATGTATATATAGATTGAAAGGGTTAAAAGTGACACCACTAGTTTTTTTAAAAAAGTGTCAATATATAATATAGTGCCCTATCTCACGAGTTTTTTGGTGTATGATTGAAACTTGAAAGAATAATGTTGATAATATTTAATAAGAAACTGAAACAATAATATAATACTCCTAATTTAAAATTAACATTATTTTTACACTCACTTAGGGTAAGACTGTAATAGTAGCGATCCTTTAAGACCGACCGAGGCCACTTGGGGCTATTTTCGGTGAAATTTGATTGATGAATTTTTTTGAGCATATTCTTCATCAAGTCTCTTTTTTGCCAACCAAATTTCAGCTTAAAGTTCAATTGGGAAGATAGTTAACTAAAGAATAAATTCCATTTTTGGTCCTACAAGTTTTAGGTAAATTTCACATCTAGTCCACATCTTTTACTTTGTCCAATTTTGATACATGGTTATTGTGTTTTCGCCCATATATGGTCTTTTCGGCATTGTTTCGATGGTTAAAATTGTCGGAAAAGGACCATAGTCGGTTAAAAACATTAGCCAAGCACCAAAAGTAGACAAAGAGAAAGATGTTGACTAAAGGTGGAATTGACACAAATTTCGTAGGACCAAAAGTGGAATTAATTCTTAACTAAATTCTTTACAAAAATTGCGTTGTGTGTGTGTGTGTATATGTGTGTGTGTGTGTGTGTGTGTGTGTGTGTGTGTGTGTGAGTCTATATATATATATGTGTGTGTGTGTGTGTGTGTGTGTGTGTGTGTGTGTGTGTGTGTATATATATATATTTAAGGCTCAATTTTTGTAAAAAAATTATTTAATTGCTTTCCCGGTTGAAATTTTAGCTGAAATTTGGTGGACATAAACTAGACTTAATGAAAAACATGCTCAAAATATATGATCAATAAATTCCATCTGGAAGGGCCCTAAATGGCCTCGGTTTGACGGAGGTTCCCGTGAGGTCGACCTGATATGATTTGCGCCCCTTAGGGCAATTTTCGTCGGTATATTACTTTGACACCACTCACATTACATCCTGCCTCCGTCCCTATATATATATATATATATATATATATATATATATATATATATTCATATATATATATACATATATATACATATATATAGATGTATATATATGCATACATATATATATACAAGAATGTTCAGGTCCCCACGTTCGGACAGAAGCCTCCGTCCGAACATGGCCATTTGGGGGCCTTCCCGGTGGAATATTTTGATTAAATTTTTTGAGCATGTTCCTCACCAAGTCTAGTTTGTCCATACCAACTTTCAGCTCAAAATTCGATCGGGAAGGCAGTCAAATCATTTTTTTAAGTTGACTGCGCCAAAATATACATATAAAAACGCAGTCAACTTCAAAAAATGATTTGAATGCCTTCCCGATCGAATTTTGAGTTGAAATTTGGTATGGACAAACTAGACTTGGTGAGAAACATGCTCAAAAAATTTCATCAAAAAATTCCACCGGGAAGTGCCCCTAATGTCCATGTTCGGACACTGTTCGGACAGGAAATTGCTGGACAGGATCATTACTCTATATATATATATATATATATATATATATATATATATATATATATATATATATATATAGAGAGAGAGAGAGAGAGGCGGGTTTGCTTAAAATAGCTAGGAGGCAAACATATGAAAAATTCTAGAATATGATGAAGAGTGTTTTCTCCGTACGTATAGAATTTATTTAATCCTATTAAACAAATAAAAGGATAAAACTTCATAAATTTTATTATATTTAACTTCTATTTAGATAATTTTCTCTAATTATATCTGCAATTGCATCTTTGCACATACGTAATATAAACTGAACTTCTTTTTATGCATTCTTGTGCATTTCTAACTTAAACTACGTCTAATCAAATGATATTAATAATGTGATTTGCTATTTGTAAAATATGTGATAAGTTCTACTGTAAGTTTGCCTCCACTCAGCAAATTTTCTCGATACGCCATTGTCTCTTATTGTCTATTTTGAATGGTCATATGCCAGGAGAAGCTAGAAGAAAATTATAGGACTGGATGGAAGTTATTTTTTCTCAATTGTCCACTGCCATATTTTCAAATCCTAGCACATACATGAAGAAAAGAATTAAAGGTAAAACATTGCATTTTCTTCTTGCCTCTATATTATGATTTAAGATCTTATTGCCTCTAATTTAATCTCTCTCTCACCCACCCATTTTTTGTTTTAGAATTTAATCCAATAAAGAGGAATTAGAGATAAATACAACATTCTTTTGCCATCATTAATGTGCTAAAATCATTGCCCAATAAGAGATGAAAAAATTAACAAAACATAAAGAAACATTTTTATCATTGAATTTGTGTTTAAAAAAAAAACTTGCCCAGACAACAAAGGATTTCCATTTTTTTGGAAGAAATAAAAGATTTCCATTAAAAATTTAAAATTGCATTTTGAATAATAAATTAAAAAAAGTGACGTCAATGGGAATTGACCCCAGCACCTCCTAAAGAGCAAAAGCTTCAAAAACAAATCTAATATCACTGCTCCAGTAAAATATACACGTATCTAAATACTTTTGTTTACTAATAAATTTTGAAAAACAAAAAAATGGGCATCAACCTATCAATGGGAATCGAACCACGTAACACCGCGTGCATAAACGCTTCAAAATCGAGCAGTTTCCGTTGCTCCAGCGAATTGTTTGCATTCATAGTTAGTTTACCCTTTAAATATACATTATGTTATTAATTTATATAAACATATACTCCGTATAATATATTATATATAGGTATTTTTTGGAAGTACGTGGTGTCTCGCCATCCCGGGATCCCGTGGGACCCTTTGTGACACCGCACCCGAACGTCCTTGAAAATTCGATTTAAAAAAAATTCAAAAGTGATGTATTGAATTTCCGATTTCAAAGCAATGGAAGAAACGATTAATATTTTACGAAGTACGCGATTGAATATTGTATTGTTCAAACCCGTATTCTTTTATAATTTTCATCATGTAAATTATTGGGATGATCCTACACATATTGGAGATCAATAATGTGATTTAGGAAGTTGACTTGTTCTAAATAAATTAGGATGAGTGCAAAAAGACATCTTTTGACAAAGATAAAACAATAGGACCCATTTCCCCCATTTTTGGAAGTATTGGTAGATAAATTGGACCCCAAATTAATTGGGATCAATTGGGAACCACTCCACATGATTATAGTACCTGCAAAACAAGAAAAATAAGTGAGGAGACTTACCTTGGCCGCACAAGCTGGAGGAGGGCTGCACAAGACTTGATTGGAATCAACCTTGAGACCCACCTTGTCTATTTCCGCACAAATCATGGGTGTGTTTTGTCTCCCTTCATTTTGAGAGTTGTACTCGTCCAAATGAGGTGTATAAGGTGTCCTTGGATAGCCTTTGAAGTGTAGTTTCATAATTGAGTGGCCTTTGTTCGAGTAGAGAGAGCAATCATCCAAAAATCGATCTGGAACGAGCAGTGGTCTGTGAACTCGAGCTGTGGGAGTGCTGAGACTGTTTGGTCGATATCTCGAGTTTTACAAATCCAATTAAGGCGTGTGAGATACCCACAGAAAGCTCTCAAGACGAGGAATCCGTGAAGGTCTGGTTTGCAGGAATCGGAGTTGTGGAAGGCTTCCAAATCGTCCGAGAAAAACGCAACCTCGCAGGAGAGGATCTAATCCTCTAAAGTGAGTTTTAAACCCCAAAGCTTTACTTTTCATTCTCCAAATGATATGAACGATTGGTGAGACTATTATACACTAATCCAAGTGTATAATATGTCCTTATAAAGTTATTTTATTGATGTAAAGGTTAGATACTAACCTAGATGCAAATATTGGAAAACTAGGAATCGAGTTAGCCGGAAAACACCCGTTCTAGGGGCTGTTTTCGTATCAACGATTAAGGGTTGAACTAGCACTTGAGGAGGCTGTTTAACACTCATATTTGAGCAAGGAATCAGTTCCAAATCCACCTTGACCAAAGCTTTGACCATTGGACCAAGAAGGGAAAGTTTAAAGCTCAATTGAGGTGAGGATTGACATCTAATTGCTTACAACTTGTAGGTTAAGCATGAGATTACCTAAATGCTTAAATCATGATTTTTCATGGATTATGATGATTATATATTGATGAAATACTGATATAGTTGCCAAGGAATGAAAGTTGAAATGATTTGAGAAGGTATGAATAATATGAGATTAAATGAGTATAAATGAACTATTTGTGAAAATGGGCATTTTGCTCATGTATGAATTATGTGGATACACAAATAAATATTTGTGTATTGAGATTGAATACTTAAGTTGCTGCTACATAATTATAAATATGTAGAGAATTACAAATAATGAGGATAATGGTATGATAACAATAATCTTAATAGTATTGAAATACTAGTTAGTGATTATTGGAACTTGTTGATTAAATTGATCCTAGGGATTGGATTGTATGAAAGGTACTTGAATATAGTTCAAGTGTATATAATAACTTAGTTTGGAACTAAGGTTAAGTTATGGGAAGTCTTTAAGGATGACCCAAAGTAGTTAATGATATGTCAATTCTAGGCATAGGGTTGCTTGAGAATTGGACCTTAATGCATGGTGATGTAATAGAGCCGAGCTCTAGAATGCATGTAAGGTGTAGACTTGGAGTCTATGTATTGTATAGCTAGAGCCGAGCTCTAGGACTTGCGTGGTGATGTAATAGAGCCGAGCTCTAGAACGCAAGGTAAGGAAATTGACCCGAGGTATATGAATTGTATGGTGATGTAGTAGAGCCGAGCTCTAGAATACAATGTCATGTACTAGGGTTGGACTCTAGGAGTTGTCGTGGCTTATAGCCACGGGGTTGGGAATGGTGATTTCCAAATGAAAATGGGCCCACGGGCCGACTACTTGACTTTTATATAAAGTAAGTATATTTTTAAACGGGGTAACTTAGGGTTACAATCATAATGTACTATCACCCTATTTGAGGGTCTTGTGTTTGAAATACTTGTTGTATATCTATTAGATGCCTGCCACACCAGTACTTTATAGCCGTATAGAGTACTGACCCCTTCGGGGGCGTCCCACCACCATTTCAGGTTGAGGCTAGAGCTTGCATCCTGTGCTCGTTGATCGAGTGATTCCTCGGAGAGAAGACTTGGTTCGTGCTTCCTCCATTCTATTTGAAACATTAATAAATTTGCTCATGGATATTTTATTATAGAGCCTGCGTGCTCATGAATAGCCCTGTGTGGCTCTTTCGTTTTAAACAATGTTTTCCGCTGCTTTATGAATTACTTATTATGTTGTTTATGGATGACTTATGTGTGAATGATATTCATGACGCCTTGTATAATATGAATGTGTTGGATTGCGATTGACTATTCGTATTGTACGGCGGGTTGTTGACGTGTCCGGGGAGGTCCGGGGCGTGACAATTAAGTTGGTATCAGAGCCTTAGTCCATAAACTTCATAATGAAGTCTCAAAATTCTCTTTTTGAAAAGATTTTGAAAACCATGAGCATAGAAGTTTTGTACTTGGAGAACTTTTGGTACTTGGGTTGCAAGGTCTCTAATTGTTAAGATGGTACCCTTAGCAATTGGTATGGCGGTGACTCGAGCCAAAATGTGTCTTAAGTACCTATCCGTCAATTGACATTTGATACGAGTCTAACGACTCCTTCCAAATTTCTTTCAGAAATGGACCGTGGTGGCAGGATTACTAGGAGAAACCCGACTGGCCGTGTACCAGTGGAGACTGGACAGGGCAGTCGAAGGACCTCTAGGGCATCTAGAGGAGCTGGCCGTGGAGGCCGATCACAGACCGTGAGTGACGGTCATGTCGACACGGAAAGTGAGACCTACTGGTCCTATGAGGACTCGACTTACCAACCGGAGACAGAGCCGGTTGACACCCCTTATGAAGGGGATGATGACGATGTAAGTGATGAGGAGGGAAATGGCTCCTTAGCACGGATCGAAGCACTACTCCAACAATACCACCGGGAGCGTGAAGAGAGGAGGCAACGCCGAAGACGCCGAGTGGGGCAACCTTCGGGCATGGCTTCAAGAGGAGGGAGTCATGGTGCATCTAGAGTCCATGTGGAACCACATGGAGGCCAAAGTGATGGAGGTCCAACCATAAGGATCTCCAAATTTATCAAAGAAGCAAGAGATTTGGGGTGCAAACCCTTTGATGGAGCAGGGGACATTTCAGTCGCAGCACAATGGATCAAGAGGCTAAATGAAGCAGCCCTTGACATGCAAATCGCGCCGAATCTCAAACTGAGAATTGCGGTAAGATTGCTCGAGGGGATGGCATCCAAGTGGTGGGATGGAACCAAGAGCAAGTACGGTGAGACCGTCGTTTGGGAGGACTTCCAACGGGAGTTCTTTGCCCAATATTATTCTGATTTTGAAGTGAACAAGAAGGTGAGGGAATACACCCTCCTAACCCAAGGGGGGTAACATGACAGTGAAGGAACTTGAGTACAAGTTCCGGGATCTCGCCGACTACATACCGGAGTATGCTTGTGACGAGAACCGAATGGTAAACCACTTTTGGGATGCTCTTGACTTGGAGATACGTGATAGGGCAACACAATTGCCTAATATGACCTTCGCCCAAGTGGTTGACCAAGCGTTGAAGGGGGAGAAACAGTGGGAGGAGAGGAAGAAGAGAGACGCCGAGGAGGCGAAAAAGAGAAAATGGGAGAGTCATGGCTCCCAAGGTTCCAACAAAAAGGGGAACCATGGAGGAGGATCTTTCCGGGCACCGCCGCCACCGTCTAGGGGGAACCAAGGCCCGAGTGGGCAAGGCGCGAGGTCACAAACCTCAGTGGTAGCTCGTTGCAACAATTGCAAGAAGAACCACTCCGGTAAATGTCGCGACCCCCCTAGATGTTTTCAATGCGGGGATGCCGGGCATTTGAAGGCACATTGTCCACAATTGAGTGGGGCAAGGACATCGGGACCAAGTAGTGGCCCGACGGGTACGCGGAATCAACCCGGGGCTTCTCAAGCAAGCCGGGGACATGGGGGAGCAAGTGCGAGCAACGCGCCATCCGTGAACCAAGGGAGGACCCAGGCTAGGGTCTATGCGATGACGGAGGCGGATGCTCAAGCTAACCCGGACTCCGTCGCAGGTATTGCCTCTCATATACTAGTGTTTTATCCTTAATTAGTCCATAAATTGAGGATACTAATCACTAGGATCATTGCACGAGGTTTTGGGGTCGAACCGGGGGATTTCGGGCAACTTCAGGCGGCTGGGACCCAGGCACGATCGTGCCTAAGGCAGACACGATCGTGTCTCCAAGTCAGTAGCTGCCCAGGAAAATTCCCAACCCAGGCACGATCGTGCCTAAGGCAGACACGATCGTGCCTACAAGGCAGTAGCTGCCCAGGTGTTTCTTCAAACCAGGCACGATCGTGCCTAATCCAGACACGATCGTGCCTCCAAATCAGTGGCTCCCCAGGATTTCCCAACCCAGGCACGATCGTGCCTAAGGCAGACACGATCGTGCCTCCAAGGCAGTGGCACCCTGGGCGTTTCCCCAAGCCAGGCACGATCGTGCCTACCCCAGGTACGCCGTGCCCGGCACCCAGATTGCCGAAACCCGATTTTTTCGCATCGTTTTGCGACGTTAAGGCCTCTTCTTGATCCCTAACGTGCGTGTGAACATTGCAACCTTCTATAAATGAGTAGGGAGGGTAGGAAAGATGTCTTACATGGTTCATGAATGTAGGGACACTAAAGATTAACGGGGAGGATGCACGAATCCTTATCGATACCGGAGCGCAACGTTCATTCGTGAGTGAGGCGTTTGCCGAGAGCTTAGAGATGCAATCAATACCAATGACACAAACCTTAGTGGTATCAACCCCACTAGGGGAAGACGTTGAAAGAAACAATTACTATCCATCTTGTATGGTGGAAATCGGTGGCCAAACCTTGACGTGTGATTTCGTACCGCTGAGTATGATGGAGTTCGATGCAATCCTAGGGATGGATTGGCTAGAAAAGCATCATGCTAGGGTAGATTGCTACACAAAGGTGTTGGAACTCGAAGGCACACAGGGGGACACCCTACGCTTCGAGGGGGGACCGCGGCAAATCAAATAGTTGTATCATATCCGCCGTGAGAGCGAGAAATATGATGAGGAAGGGATGCCACGCATATCTAGCATTCGTGGTTGACAAAACCAAAGAGGAAACGAACATCGATGATGTGAGGGTGGTTTGTAAGTATCCGGAGGTCTTCCCTAAAGACCTACCGGGGCTTCCACCTGACAGAGAGATTGAATTTGTGATCGAGGTCGAGCCTGGTACCAAACCAATCTCCATACCGCCATACCGGATGGCACCCGCTGAACTTAACGAGTTGAAAACCCAATTGCAAGAGCTTTTGGATAACGGTTTCATTAGACCAAGCCACTCCCCGTGGGGAGCACCGGTTCTTTTTGTGAAAAAGAAAGATGGGACACTTCGAATGTGCATTGACTATCGTCAACTGAACAAGGTCACAATCAAGAATAGGTATCCGTTGCCTAGGATTGATGACTTGTTTGATCAACTACGAGGAGCAACCGTGTTTTCGAAGATTGACTTAAGGTCGGGGTACCATCAATTGAAGATTAAGGAAGATGACATACCAAAGAGTGCTTTCCGCACAAGGTATGGGCATTTTGAGTTCCTTGTTATGTCGTTTGGATTAACAAACGCCCCGGCGGCATTCATGGACTTGATGAACCGAGTATTTCATAAATACTTGGATCGATTCGTGATTGTGTTCATAGATGACATCTTGATTTACTCAAAGAGTGAAGAAGAGCATGAGGAGCACTTGATACTTGTTCTTGAAACACTACGGGAGAAGCAACTCTATGCCAAATTTTCTAAATGTGAATTTTGGCTAAAGGAGATTGGCTTCCTCGGGCACGTGGTTTCGGGATCGGGGATTGCTGTTGATAACAAGAAGATAGAAGCCATTACTGAATGGGAGAGGCCAAAGAACGTCAAGGAAATTCGTAGTTTCCTTGGATTGGCAGGCTACTATAGAAAGTTCGTGGAGAAGTTCTCTGTTCTGGCATCGCCATTGACGAAGCTCACTCGTAAAGGAGCTAAGTTTGTATGGGATGACAAATGTGAGAAAGGGTTCATGGAACTAAAGAAGAGATTGACCGAGGCACCGGTACTTGCATTACCCAAACAAGGTGTGGGGTACGATGTCTATAGCGATGCGAGCATCCAAGGGCTCGGATGTGTACTGATGCAGAATGGGAGGGTAATCGCCTATGCTTCACGACAATTGAAGAAGCATGAGGTGAATTATCCTACTCATGATTTGGAGCTCGGGGCAGTGGTATTTGCACTGAAGATATGGAGACATTATCTCTACGGGGAGACATGTCACATATACACCGATCACAAGAGCTTGAAGTACGTGTTTACTCAGAAAGAGCTAAACATGAGACAGAGACGGTGGATGGAGCTGATAAAAGACTACCATCTAGTGATAGAGTATCACCCAGGCAAGGCAAACGTGGTGGCAGATGCTTTGAGCCGGAAGAGCTCGTCTGGGGCATTGATAACTAATTTGAGGGCATTAAGAGCCCAACTGGAGGTAACCAGCGATGGTGCCTTATTGGCACGATTTGAGGTGAGACCCACTTTACTTGATGAGATCAAGAAGGGTCAGGAAGCCGACGAAGAACTTATGAAGGTCCGGGAACGCATGCAAGCGGGGCCGGTGGAGGATTTCAGGGAAAGAGATGATGGTCTCTTGTTATTTCGTGACCGAGTGTGTGTACCGTCAGATGATGAGCTCCGAAAGTCCATCTTAGAGGAGGCTCATTCATCGGCTTATGCCATGCACCCGGGGGGCACGAAAATGTACCGTGATTTGAAGGAAAGTTACTGGTGGTCTGGAATGAAGAGGGAAATAGCCGAGTACATCAGTCGGTGCCTTACTTGTCAACAAGTTAAGGCAGAACATCAGCACCCAGCAGGCTTATTGCAACCACTTTCCATTCCTGAATGGAAGTGGGAACACGTGACTATGGATTTTGTGGTAGGGTTGCCACGGACAATCAGGAACTATGATGCAGTTTGGGTTGTCGTAGATAGGCTCACAAAGAGTGCACACTTCTTGCCTATCAACACTACTTACCCACTTGAGAGGTTAGCCAAATTGTATACGGATGAGATCGTGAGGCTGCATGGGGTCCCAGTGACCATTGTATCTGACAGAGACCCACGATTCACATCACGTTTTTGGCCAAAATTTCAGGAGTCTATGGGAACGAGGTTGAAGTTCAGTACTGCTTTCCACCCACAGACGGATGGGCAGTCTGAAAGAGTCATACAGATCCTAGAAGACATGCTGAGGGCTTGTGCATTGGAGTTCCAGGGAAGTTGGGACAACCACTTAGCACTTGTGGAGTTTGCCTATAACAACAGCTATCAGGCAAGCATCGGCATGCCTCCATACGAGGCATTGTATGGGAGGAGGTGCCGTACACCATTATGCTGGGACGAGGTTGGCATGGCCAAACTCGAGGGTACTGAGTTGGTTGAGGTCACCAAATCAAAGGTGAAGTTGATTCGAGAGAGACTCAAAGCGGCTCAGGATAGACAAAAGAGTTATGCAGATAAGCGTCGAAGAACCTTAGAGTTTAAGGTTGATGACGAGGTATTCTTGAAAGTTTCTCCTTGGAAAGGGATCATTCGGTTCCAAACCCGAGGAAAACTTAACCCACGATATATAGGTCCATTTAGGATTATAGAGAGGATTGGAGCCGTTGCATATCGTCTACAGTTGACTCCTGAGTTAGAGAAGATACATAATGTGTTTCATGTATCCATGCTTAAGAAGTATGTGCATGATCCTTCTCATGTGTTGGAGAAGCCGCCCGTGGAGGTACGTGAGGATTTGAACTATGCCGTGCAACCGGTAAGAGTTATTGACAGAAAAGTGAAGAAACTGAGGAGTAAAGAAGTTCCAATGGTTAAAGTCCTTTGGAAGAGTGACCGGGTCGAGGAAGAGACATGGGAAACGGAGGCTTTGATGAGGAAGCAGTATGCTTTCCTATTCGAGTAGAGCTGTGAATTTCGGGGACGAAATTCCTGTTAAGGGGGGGTGAACTTGTGACACCGCACCCGAACGTCCTTGAAAATTCGATTTAAAAAAATTCAAAAGTGATGTATTGAATTTCCGATTTCAAAGCAATGGAAGAAACGATTAATATTTTACGAAGTACGCGATTGAATATTGTATTGTTCAAACCCGTATTCTTTTATAATTTTCATCATGTAAATTATTGGGATGATCCTACACATATTGGAGATCAATAATGTGATTTAGGAAGTTGACTTGTTCTAAATAAATTAGGATGAGTGCAAAAAGACATCTTTTGACAAAGATAAAACAATAGGACCCATTTCCCCCATTTTTGGAAGTATTGGTAGATAAATTGGACCCCAAATTAATTGGGATCAATTGGGAACCACTCCACATGATTATAGTACCTGCAAAACAAGAAAAATAAGTGAGGAGACTTACCTTGGCCGCACAAGCTGGAGGAGGGCTGCACAAGACTTGATTGGAATCAACCTTGAGACCCACCTTGTCTATTTCCGCACAAATCATGGGTGTGTTTTGTCTCCCTTCATTTTGAGAGTTGTACTCGTCCAAATGAGGTGTATAAGGTGTCCTTGGATAGCCTTTGAAGTGTAGTTTCATAATTGAGTGGCCTTTGTTCGAGTAGAGAGAGCAATCATCCAAAAATCGATCTGGAACGAGCAGTGGTCTGTGAACTCGAGCTGTGGGAGTGCTGAGACTGTTTGGTCGATATCTCGAGTTTTACAAATCCAATTAAGGCGTGTGAGATACCCACAGAAAGCTCTCAAGACGAGGAATCCGTGAAGGTCTGGTTTGCAGGAATCGGAGTTGTGGAAGGCTTCCAAATCGTCCGAGAAAAACGCAACCTCGCAGGAGAGGATCTAATCCTCTAAAGTGAGTTTTAAACCCCAAAGCTTTACTTTTCATTCTCCAAATGATATGAACGATTGGTGAGACTATTATACACTAATCCAAGTGTATAATATGTCCTTATAAAGTTATTTTATTGATGTAAAGGTTAGATACTAACCTAGATGCAAATATTGGAAAACTAGGAATCGAGTTAGCCGGAAAACACCCGTTCTAGGGGCTGTTTTCGTATCAACGATTAAGGGTTGAACTAGCACTTGAGGAGGCTGTTTAACACTCATATTTGAGCAAGGAATCAGTTCCAAATCCACCTTGACCAAAGCTTTGACCATTGGACCAAGAAGGGAAAGTTTAAAGCTCAATTGAGGTGAGGATTGACATCTAATTGCTTACAACTTGTAGGTTAAGCATGAGATTACCTAAATGCTTAAATCATGATTTTTCATGGATTATGATGATTATATATTGATGAAATACTGATATAGTTGCCAAGGAATGAAAGTTGAAATGATTTGAGAAGGTATGAATAATATGAGATTAAATGAGTATAAATGAACTATTTGTGAAAATGGGCATTTTGCTCATGTATGAATTATGTGGATACACAAATAAATATTTGTGTATTGAGATTGAATACTTAAGTTGCTGCTACATAATTATAAATATGTAGAGAATTACAAATAATGAGGATAATGGTATGATAACAATAATCTTAATAGTATTGAAATACTAGTTAGTGATTATTGGAACTTGTTGATTAAATTGATCCTAGGGATTGGATTGTATGAAAGGTACTTGAATATAGTTCAAGTGTATATAATAACTTAGTTTGGAACTAAGGTTAAGTTATGGGAAGTCTTTAAGGATGACCCAAAGTAGTTAATGATATGTCAATTCTAGGCATAGGGTTGCTTGAGAATTGGACCTTAATGCATGGTGATGTAATAGAGCCGAGCTCTAGAATGCATGTAAGGTGTAGACTTGGAGTCTATGTATTGTATAGCTAGAGCCGAGCTCTAGGACTTGCGTGGTGATGTAATAGAGCCGAGCTCTAGAACGCAAGGTAAGGAAATTGACCCGAGGTATATGAATTGTATGGTGATGTAGTAGAGCCGAGCTCTAGAATACAATGTCATGTACTAGGGTTGGACTCTAGGAGTTGTCGTGGCTTATAGCCACGGGGTTGGGAATGGTGATTTCCAAATGAAAATGGGCCCACGGGCCGACTACTTGACTTTTATATAAAGTAAGTATATTTTTAAACGGGGTAACTTAGGGTTACAATCATAATGTACTATCACCCTATTTGAGGGTCTTGTGTTTGAAATACTTGTTGTATATCTATTAGATGCCTGCCACACCAGTACTTTATAGCCGTATAGAGTACTGACCCCTTCGGGGGCGTCCCACCACCATTTCAGGTTGAGGCTAGAGCTTGCATCCTGTGCTCGTTGATCGAGTGATTCCTCGGAGAGAAGACTTGGTTCGTGCTTCCTCCATTCTATTTGAAACATTAATAAATTTGCTCATGGATATTTTATTATAGAGCCTGCGTGCTCATGAATAGCCCTGTGTGGCTCTTTCGTTTTAAACAATGTTTTCCGCTGCTTTATGAATTACTTATTATGTTGTTTATGGATGACTTATGTGTGAATGATATTCATGACGCCTTGTATAATATGAATGTGTTGGATTGCGATTGACTATTCGTATTGTACGGCGGGTTGTTGACGTGTCCGGGGAGGTCCGGGGCGTGACACCCTTAATGGGTCCGCCACTATGTGTGACAAAAACTCTATGAGATAATGAGATAACATGATATTACAACTATTAATGAGTCGCATGAAAGTTTATAAAAACACAACAAATATATATATTGACAATGTACAAAAGGTATCAATATAAATGTTCAAAAACTTTTTTATAGACTACAAATAAGAATCTTCAACTCACTTCTTGAGGTAACACTTGATGTGGTAACGTACAATTGACAATGCGTAAAAACATATTTTGGAAGAAATATATGCCCACTTGCGCTAAATTTTGAGGGAAAAATGTTATTTTACGGGACCACCAATGAAAATCATGGAGTCAAAGCTTTTGACCAATACTTTTTGAGATACATAACCTACACCTCCAAAATGCAATTACACAACCAAGTAATAAGCATGCAAGACTCATTATATAAGTCATATGATGGCCAATGTTTCTCATTAGCATAATAGGAACACCAACTTTTAATTTAGTCCTAATTTATGGTTCGATATCCTTTATGCATCAATGATGTTCAAATACTCTTGCATGTGCACTTAAACGGATTCAATGTCAATGTTGGCATGTTGCCTTCAAGTGTACATGGGTAATAATATGAATAGGATTTTTTTAAATCAGTTCAAAAAATATGTGATAGAGTCCCAAATTTTGTCCCAAAATTTTGACTATTTATAGTCGTCGGTGCATGATTCGGTGGGAATGCTTATTTTTTGTTATTATTTTAAGTATTTTATGCATTATAGTCCTGATTTTTGTGCCAAAATATGTAGGAATTTTGTTGCTTTATATTATATAAAGATAAACTTATAAACATTATCATAATCATAATCATCGTCATCATCATTATATATATGTGATATTATCATTGCTGTTATTTTTATTATTATTATTATTGTTGCTATTATTGTTTATTATTATTATTGTTGTTGTTGCTATTATTGTTTATTATTATTATTATTAAGATTTTCTTATTATTAATTTGAAAACCCAAAGTTATTATGTGCACATATCATTATTGCTTATATTAGTCCAAAAGAATTCGCATTGTCCAAATTGTGTGAGGTGAGGGGTATATTCTTATAGCTTTCAATCAGTGCCGATCCTACGTAAAGTTGGACCTGAGTTGAACTTAAATAAAGGCCCTTATCAACAGGAGTTTTTCGGTGGTATACTTTTCAAATTAAAAGAATTTGTACCACAAGCAATATTAAGTACGGGGTAACTAAATGAACTTCGTACAATATAATATAAAAACCGAATACTAGAACACAATTAAAAATAACATGTGGTCATTTTTAGATGCTAAATTATTTTATTTGTTGTAATACTTTAAATAACAAAGCTACCATACCGTATTTAAAACCAATGTGCTAAATACTCCGTATATAAGTCTTATTTGTAAATTAGAGAAGAACTCAATCTTATTTGCGTTTTCTTCTTTTTAACTGACTCAGATGCAACTCATGCAAGTGCTCAAATGCTATTGTGTTGTGAGCTATTCAATTAGAAAGTATATGTTTCAATTAATTCAACAAAAGACAAAGTATATGTTGCAAATTTTGCAATTAATTCAACACAAGACTTGTTGGTGTAAATCGACCCAAATTCACTCAAAAATAATAAAAATGAAAAATGAATGAAGAATTAAGAATGAGTGGAAATCACGACTGTTCTAATTAATCTAAGTCAACATTCGTGTATTCATCTCCTCTTCCTCACGCAATAAATGGTCTTTAAAACTTTTTAAAGCTTGAGACTGTAGGGGCCGGGGGATAAGATCTCTTGTATGAAGTCATTCGTGTTTATAGAAATGAGTGAGATCTTCTACCTTAGTGATCTTAAAATGAACCAAAGAGGTAGGATCCATCATCTCAATAGTATATATTGATTTAAAATTATCGTGATAAATCTTATTCAAAGATTTGAAATAATTGAACATGAATGGTCTTACCATTTTTTAGTTGTAAAATACATATCATACTATTTAACTAATTGTTAAATTATCTAAAATCAAGCATGAAGGGACCATAAAACCAAATATGTATTAATATTTGATATAAAAATAATGATATAAATAATGAAGAACTATTGAATATAATTTATAAATGAACAACAGTATTTTGATAAAGCAAGTTTTAACTAAAATTCAATAATTAAAACTCGAAATTTAAGTAGAAGAAGAAAAAACATGATAGCACTTAACTAACAAGTTAGCTCTTTAAAATTTACAAACCAACAACTCAATAATTGAAAAACATTTGTGTATATATTTATATAAAGGTTTTTTTAAAAAAAATTGGCCCCTAATTTTTTTACATTTTTTGGACCCTGAGGCCTATGCCTCATTGGCCTCAACATTAGGCACGGCCCTGCTTTCAATGAAATCTGATGTACTTTAGTCTTTAAATAAAGCAATATTTTAGAATGGATAAGATCAATATTATTGGTACGGGTGAGCAATGGCGGACCCACTAAGGGTCCCATGGGGTCCCGGGACCCCGTGGTCTTCGAAAAATTTACCTATATATATTACTTATATTTTACAAAATTTACCTGTGTATGTTTAAGTATATATAAAATATGTGAAACCCTGAAATCAAATGGAGGCAGCGGAGTAATGGTAGCATACATGTGCTAAAGGTCTTCTTATTCGTGTGGTAGTTTTGCTTTTTGGCGCTTTTTTAACCTTGTTATTTTAAAACTCCAAATGGTCCTTTGGTCCATTTTTTAAACCCCTTCCAACTGTAGACCTGAGACCACAACAAATTTATTAATTCATTTTTTTGAATTAATCATTCCGTATAAAATTTCTTTGAATGGTAAGATTAAAATAATAAATATATGTATTTATGAATTTTTTTTTTGGAAAATTTTATGATTAAGGATGAAAAGGTCAGTAGTGTACTCAAATTTAAACAGACTAGGAGTACCATAGTTATTGTAATAGGGTTGTTTCAACTTCGGGATCATGATTTCCTTATTAAAGTAATTGACGGCAAAAAACGTAGATTTGTTTCAAGTTGGTTTGATGAGCATAAATGGTTGGAATATGATATTGCCAAGGATGTTGCATGTTATTTGTGTAGGAGTGAGTGGAAAGTTAGTAGTAATCATTTTTTTGGAATATGATTTTCAGCATGGAATAAAAAATAGGTTTTATGTACACATTGGTGGACCTATATATTATAGAATATTTACAACAAATAAAACCTATTAGGTACTTTTGTAGAATTGTAGAATGACTTTTATATGTAATTTTATTGCTTTATATCAACTTAATATTTTGATGATGACCCCGTGAGAGTTGACTTTTAACTATGAAACATTATGTTTTTCTTAATTTTATATTAATGAGAGTTTTTTTAATTTTATATTAATGAGAGTTACAATAGTTTAGGGACCCCGTGATTCTGAGTTTCTGGATCCGCCACTGCGGGTGAGTGAAGTATACTCTCAAATATCAATAATGTCATATACATGGGTCACTTAAATTAAGTTTCATTTTATACAAAACTTGTTGGATTCCTAATCAAATGTGTTGGCATCGCCGCATCGCTAACTCATTTTGATTTCTTAATATTTTATAATTTCTATATATTTTCCAAAATTTCGATCTCAATATACTTCACTTATAGTTATAATTACACGTGTGACATATATATATATGAAAACTCTTTCATGTTTAATTGTTAACAACTTCATTATGAAACGTATATCTCATATAGGAATTTTTTCAAGTGTGTGTGTATACATATATTATATATACGGAAAAGATCCTATCCAGCCGGAGGGACAGGATCCTCCGTACGGCCGCCACCGTTTGGAAATTTGTGGGAATTTGTCAAAAGTGGGAATTTGTCAAAAAAGTCAAAAGGGGGGGGGGGGGGAAGGTGGGGCTACTAATTTTAGCGTGTGATATTTATTTTCCGGCAACTAACATATTTGCCCTTCAATGAAAGAAAACATTGCCTTCACGCTGCAGAACAGGTAACAACTTTGTTACTTTATATTACATTACATAAAGATATATAACGATAAAAAATTTCATTGTTGTTGTTGTTATAGATTTATGACAAACAAATTTGTCATAAATCTTTTTATTCCGCAATCAATTTTATTTGGACGGCACTTTTAACGAAGTGAGCAGGATAAGTACTTATAGATTTATGACAAACAAATTTGATAAACTTGATAATGAAACACTGTATGCTCAATTGGCGGTTCCATTATTTTATATGGTAATATAATATACTCCGCATTTTACATTTAACAATTTACAACTTGACTAATTACATATTTATCACTTTTTGGGCGGGAATTCTGCCTCCAATAATCATAGCAACTTTGCTATTTTATATTATATAAATAAATATAAATATATTCAACATTGGTGTCATATGAAAAGATAATAAAAAGTTATGAATTTTGATATTCTTTTGTAACAATCGGAATACAAATAAAAAATTATAGCACTTAAAATAGATGTTTTAAAGTGTTGATTATAATAGAATTATAATAGGACTACTCTTGTACTTTACATTAAAATTCTACTAGTATAAATATATCTGGCAGGGCTCCTTAGAGAGTATACTGTTCCATTATTCTCACATGGTATCAAGAGCACAGTTAAAAACCTGTTTTTTCGGATCTCTCTCTACATTCGGCGCCGCCTGGCTTTTCTTTTTGCCGCCTCCTTCGACCTTCGATCCACCACTAGTTCTCAACCAAGATGACTACTCCGGCCTCCACATCATCCGCAGCGCCCTACTCGACGACGACGTCTCCTCTCATCACGTCGTCAATCGCGGCCAACAGCATGGCATCCACCAGCGCTCCGCTCTCCTTCGGAACGCTGCCGGCAATCACCTTCGTCTCTTCCGACGTGACCTTCTCCTCCAATTTTGCG